GGAATCGTACTCTTGATTACATTCCATGATTACAACATATCAATTGACATTGTGAAAACAAAGGTAATTGTAATCGTAATTAATTACATTTCTGGAGGAATCAAAACATGTGTGCCAAAGAGTTAAGATATTTAAGCGGGCTGAATTGAACTGGTGAAGGTTATATAACATTGGTAAAACACTGAGGTAGGGAGGTTCCTTAGCGCTAGTACACAATAGGATATTAATGGGATTTGATAAGCAAAGGTTTTACAGAAGGTAATTTCAACAGAAAAGGCTGGGCCATCCTAGATACTCTAATTGACTAATAGGGGTTAGCTTAAAAAGGAGGCAAAGTATGCCAACTCCACACCCAGCTTATGGATGACAGCAATATTCCATCTGAGGGCACACATAACTTACATAAATGGCTGTCAACTGTTTTTCTGTGAAGTACAACCTGCCTCTGAACATGATCACAATTTCTCTGAAGTAGTTTCAGCTAAATTTAAAAACAAAATCTCAAGGTAAAACTTTAAGTGAGGGTGATGCATAAAATCTCAGTTTTGTGTGATGGTGGAATTATAGTGTCGAAATGTGAATTAATTTGTGTAGTATCATGCTTGCTATAAGTATTGTGTATTATGATTTAGAGGTAGAAGGCAACTAACAAATAGGGAGGTACAGTTGTGGAATTGTGGTAACCCTTGTTTCCAAGCTGCCAACCTATATGTGCCCCTATAGCTAACCTATCCACCAATCACATCGTTGTTACACAACCAAACAAATCCATTCATAAATGGTGATACTACTACTGCGATGTTGCCAATTGGAGACTAGGAACACATTTCTGCAACTGTACTACCACCTGTGAAGATATTGGAAGCATGATGTGTTGTCTAATGGTAGATCCTGCTGCCATATGGCATCTCAAAAATTGTGACCAAATCCCAGGTTGCTGATCTGACTTTTTGCCTCATTTACACACAATGGACGAGTTGAAGGTTGAAATTTTTTCATAAGATGGCAGGTCAATGGGTAAAGAAAATGCTTAAATTAACTATGGTAATGATATTTTTAAATAAATTGGGACAAAAGGTGTAAAAATGTAAGGGTTAAAGTTGCTAAAAGTCATGTGACTGCAAAAAGCTCTGTGATTGGTTGTGAAATCACTGGTTGGGGTGAACTTCCCAGCAGGAGGCACCCAGCTGTAGTTGTCCAACCTCCTTGGCTGATCGCCTCAGTAAATAAACATTATTAGATAATTAATTGTGCTTTATTGTGCAACACAGTAATGCTATATTGAATATATAAATATTACTAAGCACATTAACTAATTCAATGGATAATAGCTGCCCATACAACAAATTTCATAGTATAAACATTCCAAATGATATTGATATTATTTTGGTTTTGGTCATCTGGGGAACCTTAAGATTCTAACTATGGGATTAAGTACTTTAAACAATAAGACACATTATCTCTACAGGATTTGTCACAAAACATTTTTCGATCGCATAAGAAAATACAGGTTATGGTAAGTTATAAGGTTAGCTTAACATACATCGGTAAGGGGTGGGGAGGAGGGTGTTAACTCAAAACTAGTGATTTCCGATAGAAATGAAGTTCAAAATCATTCATAGCACATCACAAACCACCAGGAAAAAAAAAAACAACATAGTCTGCATGTCTTAAGTACAGGGATGACCATTAGTGAATCATCAAAACAGTAACAGCACTATGTTGTCATGTTTAGCTAACACCAGGCATTATCAAAACAAAGTCCAGACAATGCCATCACTTCTAAATATACTCGTATCTCCATCTAGTACTGATATACTCTGTAAATGTACCGAAAAAAAAAGAGAAAGTCTACCAGGTAAAAGTACATGACAGCTGAGCTGGTGTGAACATGGGAGTTTTTATGTCCAAAAGAACATAAGAATGGAGGAAACTGCAGCGGGCCATACTGGGCAGTCCCATTTACACCCAACCGCTAATGCTCATATATCCATCTAACCTATGTTTGAAGCTGCTCTTCACGGCACATTTCTACACTTACGAAATGTCCATGACTTAGACCATAAAAAAACACCCTTAAAACTTACCTGAACATGGCATTTGGGGTCTGAAGAGGCCATCCTTTCTACTACTTACGACTGCAGCCCAGCTGTGTTTGAAACTAGTGGCGGTCCTGTTTCCAGAAAATATAGTTATCTCTACTATTATAGCAGGACTTTAAACTTTTATTACAAATTATATATACGGTATAACTCTACTAACGTGGCAGAGTGTATTTCTTGTGTTTACCCAGTACCGTCAACTCGTCCATTACAGGGTCTCAATTGTTTTTCTCTTACTTTGACAACACTATATATATATATATATATATATATATATATATATATATATATATATATATATATATATATATATATATATATATATATATATATATATATATATATATATATATATATATATATATATATATATATATATATATATACATACACAGTAGAAGTCCAAAAATCCGGACTGCTTGGGGATTGGGTCGGTCCGGATTTTCCGGATTCTCAGGCAGTACTTTTAAAATTCAAATTTAAGGAGGAATAAAGAAGAGATGAACAGGTGCATTTTGATAGTTTATTCATTAGCAAATATAGCATGCTTCATTTATCAAAACGAGCAGTTTTAATGAAAAAGCTGTGAATTCTAGAATTTTATTCTTTGCCTTTTTTATATCATAAATTGTAGACTTTCCAATGTCGTATGTTTCCATTAGAACAGTATTGCTCACACCACGTTCTAGTTTCTTAATTATTTCAAGTTTGTCACTCAATTTCAACGTGTTCTTCTTTCTCTTCACACAACGAAGTTTATCTACTTTAGGAGCCATTATTATGGGCTTGTACAGTACTCTGTAAATGGAAAGAGTAGGACTCAAAATATTATTATATTTCAATGGTATTCTATTCATACTGTGCTTGATGTAATGCATTCACGGAAATGTAATATTTTTGCTGAAATGACGTACGTATTACAGTGGAAAGTGTGATAAAATCGTGACGAAAACAATGACTTTCGCTTTCTTTCGTTCAAAAGATGTTACCGTAATCGCTTTTCGAATGGTTATCAGTTAAAAAAATGTTGTATTACAATAATATTCTATCCTAATTGACTTGAATAAATACTATGATACCATATTTCTGAATATTTTCATTAAAATCCATAGAAATCATTTTCCTTGTCATTGTCTGCAGCACCAAACAGCTTCTCCCAGTCCTCTCCTTGAACAGGGCTAGAGGGTACGTGTTTTTCGAATCGTTTTCAGTCAAAAAACTATTACATCACACATATATTTTACCTAAACTGCGCCTGAATGAATATATTCTCGGAAATAAATAGTAGTTTTGCTGAAAGGTGATGTATTTCAATGTAAAATAGGGATTAAATACACGATGAAAACAAAAGACTTTACCTAAGCTTCCGATGTTCTTGAGATGTTACTCGTTTTTTTAATAGTTTTCGGTTAAAATTCTGTTATATTACAATGATATTCTATTCATACTGTGCTTGATATAATACATTCACGGAAATGTAATATTTTTGCTGAAATTACGTACGCATTAAGTAATGATAAATATACTATTATCACTACAATAGTATTTATTAAGTAGTGATATATACACTGCAATAGTATTTATTAAGTGTTGATAAATACACAACTGTACTCTACTAATTTACTAAGTGTTGAAGACAGACATTGTGGTAAGCTGATCAGCTTTTGCTCTGTAAACAAATGAATATGAAATGACTCATGTTCAGTGTGGAATTATTTTTTCAGGAAAGCTGGTTCTTTTAGGTTAATATTTTATCAACCTGGCACCAAATGATTCTAAATTACTATATGAGAATTATGGTGAAATTGCATAAAGAAGTGTTCAAGGAATCTTGGGGAATGGAGCCACCCACCCATGCTACCCCTCTCCCAGCTGCTCCTAGATAACAGATAAACACTCGTCTTCTACGTCTTCTACGTACAATATACCCCTACATTTCTTTGCTCTTATTTTTATCTTTATAGTTCTGTACAGTATACAGTTTTCTCTGTATTCATAAGACAAATTCTGTGGTTACTTGCATATAACACTGCAATAAATGACAATCATCTCGGTGACAACAGTTGTTGACAACCAGATTTATAAATCTGATTTCATATTTTTTTTATTGTTGATGTAATATTCTTTTAATAACTTTGTTATACACTTAAAGACCGTAGCTGTTGAAGTGCAGTAAAAACATGACAACAACTGATTTTCTTTAAACAGTTCAGATAAACAGTGTTATCTTCAAACAACCCCTTCCCCATATTTGCTTTTTTCGTACTTTCACATTTTTCGGACTGGGGTCTGCCCCAATTAGTCTGATTTATCGAGTTTCTACTGTATATATTTTTGGCCCCCCAGTAGTCCCCGATGTGGGTCAGTGACCTGTGCCTGGGTGGGCTAATCCCCATAAAAATAGTTACAATTAAGGAAACCTAATTGGATGCTCCCCACTCAGCTATGTAGGCAAGGTCATCCAGTAGAAAATCTTTTGTCTGGAATTCAAAATTTTATCTCTTGAGACTGGTGCAATCAGAGCGAAAGTTCTGTGGAGAACTGAGTCTTCTGCATTGGAGTGTGTAGAGTTGTTTGTCATTGAAAGTCCAATAATCCATATGAAGAAAAAAGTTAGTACTAGTATGAAACACTAAGGAACTCTGGCACTGTGTGGCCTTAAGAATCATTGTTCCTCTTTTATAGCAATTTTTAGCTTCTTAGATCTTATACTTAATGGATAAGACAGTTGTGGCTGATCTTCAGATTAGCCCTAGTTGCTTAAGTCTTGGGCTTCCCCGGGTGCCAAGATATAAAAACTGAGCAGGCATATTGATTAATTTATCTTTCAAAGCTTATTTCTAAAATGGAATTTCAGAATCAGTCCACCGTATCTCATCACAATAATTTATCTTTCAGGAAAAAGCATCACTGAAGGATGAAGCCGATTCTATGAGGAAAGATATTGAGAAACTGAGGCAGATTGTGAGGCATTATGAAAAAGTGAAGGTAATGCTGTACAGTAGAGTTCTGCATAATCTTTTGTTTGATTACTACATTATTTTGGTGATATTGTGCAGCATTTTTCTACTTATAAGTGGGATGGATCAAGGGCTACATAAATATCATGAAAGGAAGGGAGTGCTAAGGAGAGTGGTGTAAGATAAGCAAGGAAAGCAAGCACTTACCTATGTTCCATACATGATTATGGATTTGTATATGATAATAATTAGGCAGTCCCTTAGTTACGAACACCTGCATTTACAAACGGGATCCCAATATAGTCATCACAAAAATCTGTAACTTAAATTCCATTTTTTTACATTACTTTTGTGGAAATTATTTTGTATAAATCTACGTAGTATATTAAATTGTAAATAAAACTTCGTAGCGACTTGCCCCGCAGAGTCCTAAAGCACCTCCAGAAATTTGGATAGTGGGTTTCTACATGAATTTAAAGTGTAATAGGCTTGTTATCAGGGGCATATCATGGAGTTCACACAGTATTTCATGTCATCCATGATTCACTTGTATAAAAATATAAATAGTACCAGTAGTGTTGGATTATTACTACTGTATTATATATAAGTAATCTGATGAGTGTAGGTAACCATCAGATGTTTCACCAGGTTGAGACGAGCTATAACTCTTTCTCATCAATGACTTTAATTCTGGTAAATTAGTTTATATAAATAAGCTAATAATATATTATCATTGTATATTTACTTTTAACTATAAGAAGCAACAAGGAGTTGTCCGAGTAGACCTTAAACTAATAAATTAGTTTAGCGATACATGTTGAATGGTGATTGGTTCCCATGTCTTCAGCTGGGACACACAGGCCTGTGGCCTACGGGACTGACAGAGCTGTTTGCACAACCATCCCGATCACACATCCATCAATGATAACCAACTTTGTGTTTTTTACACATTAACCAAGTTGGACATCAATGTAGCAACTTCAACACTGGCTGAAGTCTTCATAGAACTTCATTAGAGTGTCATAACCCGCCCTATGATAACGCCAAGTACTGTATCAGATAGCTAGAAGAGAAAAGTGATTTCGTAGGAAAAGAGGGAGGAGATAAGCCTCCATTTTTCAAGTTATTAAATTAATTTATTTATTATGTGTGTAAAAATAACCACAACGTTCAGTATTTTGTATTATATTACACCACTTTATTTACTGTATTTACTTTATCTATTATGCATGGGATATTATTGTTGTTTTGTAACCTAGCCTAAATTATGGAATTAATACTCTGACTTATGAACAGGGTCCAGGAACATAACCCGTTCATAACTCGGGTGTCGGGTACTACTTGTGCATAGATTTACTGTTTATTAACCTATAATTTTAAGTTGGAATGTTATGATACTTGAGGTTTGTCATTTTCAGGGCCATCATCATCATCATCACTTTACGGCTATTTTCCACACTTGCATGTAATTTCTTATAATCTCTCCCCATGTCATTCCTGGCCTACCTCTGGCTCTCCTCCTGTCCACATTTTGACTTACACATCTCTTAAGCCAACTGGTTTCTAGGGCAGTTCATGAAAATCACTGAGTACTTGAGGATTGGCAGGTGGGGAAAAGTATAGATATAAGTGAAAGTGCCATGCTATTAGTGCAAGGAACACCGGCTACTACTTTACTACTAATGACAAAAAAGATGTTTGAGTGCATTATTGATGCATGGTCAAATAGCTGAAATAATATTGCTTGTCAGTTGCTATTACCTGATTGGAATGGGACACTGCTAAGGTAGATTTGTATTCTTAATTGATGCTTCATTTTGATTAGATATGTTTAAATAGGCTTTATTGATAAAAATACTACACTTAGATGTAGCAGATGTCAAAAAGTAGCTACTTCTTAAAGTGTCACGTGATTTCCCATAGACCATCATCATCACTGTTTTATGGCCTTCCTCCACACCTGTTAGGTTAGCCATGTTATGAATTGAGATATGTTATACAGTATACTGTACAAAAATATTCCATCTGATAAACTCAATCAAAAAGAAATTAAGGGCACATTGTCTGGACTCTGATGTGATCAACTTGGGGACCATCAGCACCCAGGACACCAACCCCACTGTGGATGTTCATGTGGAGAGTACATTCCTACACACTCCCTGTGCAGCAATAGGCTCTGCTTGGAGGTGCTTAACAAAGGTTGTACCTCACAGACAACTCATTTTACCCTCTTGATCATGAAATGTGATATTTTGTGCCTTGAGCCTCTATTTTATGCAGTGAAGTATCTGCAGACAATGTAATTTTTATTTTTATTTTTTTCATTTATTTATTTATTTACTTTTTTTTTTTTTTTTACCAGCTTACCTTGGAGGAGACCCAGGATCACTTTGCAGCAAGTAGGGAGGAAACAGCAGAACTAGCAAAAGAAAATTACAAATTAAACCACATCCTGCAGGAGAAACAAAGATGTCTACAAGAGTTAGAAGAGGTAATGATACAAAGTTAGAGCCTGGATGAATTAGGGCATGTTCAAATTGTTATGTTCATTGTGAGAGGCCCTAGTGGGAAGTGTTGTGTAGTGGTGGGGGACTTGAGGCCATTGTAATCGCTTGTTGGAGCGATTGTGGTTGTGCAGGACAATAAGACCCTCTACGTTGACACGAAGTGTATAATTCGGTCAAAACCTGTTGAATACATCTCACATGTAACAACTGCTGCTACATCAGGACACACAGTTTGAACAATATGATCAATGTACAGTACATAACTACAATTATTAAAGTCGTTTCGTGTTCTCAGAGGATTCAACAGTTCACAATCACACTCACGTTTTACGGGTCTAGGGGCAGACCAACGAGAACAAATACGATGTCCTGCAAGAGAAATATTGGCTGACGAGAATCAAGATGTTGCCTCTACAGGAGAAGGCGATAGTCTGCCCTCAGGCTGTCTCATGGGTAGCTGTGGGCCTTCAGCCCGCTTAGTCAGCTATCTTAGTTGTAAACAGTCTCTTCACTTCTTCCTCTCTCCCTCTTATTCTTTCTATTCTGCCTGTAGCTTCACTTACACATGTTACTGGCTCACACAATTGTGCGTGGCGGTAGCCGTCATGTTGATGTCATGATCACAATAGGGGGAGGGGGGTCATCAGGGAGGGATAAGACTAAATGGCTCTTTTGAGTTGCAAGCCGTGAGAGCTGGCTAGTGGCACCTTTCCTCTGGCCCAGTCGGCCAGGGCTGGAGAGTAGGTCTCCTGTGTGTTTGCCGTACATGACGACCCGTAAGGCTGTGAGACAGGAATCCTGGAGGTTGAGCGATGTTGCATGCTGCTCACTGTGGTTAGCAATGCACCTCTTTGGTCCCTTATTCTGGTTAGGCTGGTCAAAATGGTTGGCCTCTGGGCCAGTCATTTGGCTAGAGTCAAGCAGGCACTACAAAGTCGGCACCCCATTTGGTCCCTCGAATATCATCAGACTTAATGGTAGCCTCCAAATACCTCCCCACTACCCCTGGGACCATTGTGTGCTTCACCTTGTTGGGCTCCATGGTGAGTGAGTGGGGTGCACAGGTGAAAGCCTAGTAATAAATTTTTATGACATCCATACCCATAAATTTCTGGCTTGATTCCAACCCTAATGATCCCTGCTCATTTATGAACAACTCTCCTGGAACGCCTTCTTTAGTGGTCACTCTGGAGCCGTTTGTGCCCAGCAGTGGCGGACATTCTCGCCAGCATGGGGGACGTCCTTCTCGGCAGAGTTCTGTCATGAGAGAGACCCAACCTGGTGTCTTTGAACCTGACTCATAGGATAAATATTTAGTCTTATTATCAATTGAGATTAATCTAAAAGACCAGAATGTTTTTCAGATGTACCGAGATATTATACAAGCTTGTGGATCTGCACCAAAAGTTGTGCCCCAAACCTTTTGGTGGAGGTGTCATCATCAGAGATGAGTAATAAACTTAGCACTTGGGGTTTTATATCTAAAACTGTGCATGATATGAAATATCACTTTAGGGTTTTCATATGCAAATTTGCATATGAAGTAAAAAATTTAAATAAAATAATTTTATGTTTTTGTATGAACTCTAGACATGCAAGTCACATATTTGGGAAGGTCGGCTTGATCTAGCAACTATTTAGATTGCACTCCAAGGTTACCACACCAGTGTTTAAAGGACCTAGGATATAACCTTGACCCATATTTATCATTTCTTGTAGCTTGTGCTAATTTCTCGTGCATCACAGTGATTTCATTTATTCATAACAGTTTAGTGAGAGTTTTGAACCATGTGTCGTGTTGCTGGTGAGGGCGGAGGGGTGGGAAACTTTAAAAAAATTGGGTAAGGAGATTGCACCATGTGCTTATAGTGTGGTGCCTCCTGATGCCTCTCCCATTGTCCCTGGCCTTTCCAGTGTAAGTGATAGTTTGTCTGGCCCTTCAACAAACAGTCTTAGTGCTGTGATTCAATATGTACAATTACTGTATCTTGCTCCCGGAGGAAAAAAAATATATAATCTACTCTTCCTGGGCGCGCTCATCAGAATGCAAAATTTACATCACTATTACCTAACAAAATATTAATTTTTTTACAACTTTTCTTCTATAACTATTTTTGCTTAATATGTACACTTTATAATGGAATAAGATTCATATTGCAATCACATGAAATAATGTAGGTATAAAGTGATGTATAAATATTTCCATCAAGTATAAAAAAATTTTTTGTTTACCTGTGCTTATTTATAAAAATGATTATTTTATTGCGATTACTTATATAAAACTGTTTGTAGATAATTTATTTACAATGCTAATGCAGTAAATGCCACCTTTTTATCTCAAATAGCAAACTTGCTATGACTCATTATGTACAATTATCTCTCGTGTGGTTGGTCAGGGGCAGTAAGGTGAGTAACAGGCCAGACCCCGAAGCGTCTCGTGGGAGAGCACCTCCCCAATCCCAAGAGTGTTAGGACTCTTAAATGTATTGCTGGAACTACAGTGTCTTGCTTCCCACACAGCAGTATGAAGCAGACCGGAGGTGTGGTGTATTGTACTCAGCTACTCCAACACGTGGAAGAAACCCTCCAACAGGAGTTTGTGGATCAAAAGGTAATAAAGGGAGAAGAATCAAGAAAAAGAAAAATGGAATTTTAACTTCTACTCCCTCTCTGAGGATCACATTCAATCGATTAACTCTTCCTGAGACCCAGATGTTAGCTTCGTATAGAGCATAGAATAAAGATTAGGCCATACATGCTCATGCCAAGAAGAAGTTTTTATTGCCAAAAGTTTGAACATGTAACCATGAACTGTCACAAACATATACCGTACACAGTCTACCTGCTGTGTGTGCCTCATGTGGGCTAATGCTCACAAGGATGAAGAGTGTATTACTTGTGGAGAGATGTGTGTAGTAAACCCTTGATAACTTGGCATTCGATATATCGGAATTTCATATAATTCGACACATATATGGTCTCAGAATTTATTATAAAAGAACTCTAGAAATGCCGAGTTATATAAAATTATCTGGGAAAATCTCGGCATATTTGACCACGTCGGTAGTACTCACCACTCTGCGCTCCACGCTTAGTCAGTCTGATGTTTGTTATTGTTGTGGTCGGGTGAGCGCTGGCTCACTCCACCCAGTGCATGGACGTGGGAAGGGAAGGTGCTTTAGCACCCTAATATGTGGGTATAAGGTACTATACATTGCACCACAGTATCTAGGGCACCAGAATTAATGTTCAGCACCCACTGGTATAATTTGGTTCCTGCGGTACTGACCCAGTAACACCCAACAACCTCCCACATTCATGTCAGGCCCCTGTATGCTGAACGTCTCCACTATTACGGTATGTTAACAATAAAATTGATACTGTACATAGCATATCATAAAATATAATAGCACATATTTGATGTAAAAAATAGCTCCTTCCACACTCAAACCATCATCTAAGCAACACCACAGTTCAGCCAGGTAGTCAACCAGCTGACTGAGATATATATGCGTGCGTGCCTGTAATGTCATATGGAGGGAAGCGGGTGAGTTAGCAACTCATTACAAATCACTACCTTCACATATGTTCACCTCAGAGACACACACACACACACTACATCCTTGACCACTGGAGGGTCAAGACCCATCGGGCGCCCGCTCCTGCTGTGGAGCTGCCCCGGCCAATGTTGGCCCATTCCCCAAGTCCCTCTTCTCGACCCATCCTCACCACCGGGATATCAACATAATCCCGCCAAAAGTGACAATTTAATTTTGGAAGGAAGTGGGATCAGTGTTTAAGCCAATGAATTCAGCACTAAACAGTACCAGCGAGAGCCGTGACCCACCAGTGAGGTCCACACCCAGATATAAGCGCCCCTGGGAACCCATCACCATCTTCTGACCAGGCAGTGTTAATCAATTCACCCTGGGAACAACCGTGGGTCGGTTTTACACCTGACCATAAGATAACACACCACCACTTAGCAGAGGGTGAGGTACTGTGACACCACACCACAGTGTCTCCATAACCACATGAGGTCCTTCACATCAACACCAATGGACGAGTTACTGCACCACATGACCTATGTGACCTCACGCAGTAGGGCAAGAGACCATCCTGGGCCATCAACTGCAAACTATAATTTGTGTGTTCAATTCATGTTCCTTCTTCTTTTAGTCATGAATGCTTTTGTGAAAGACCCACCTACCCCTTGTATTTGTTTGTAATAAGTCATTTCTGTCCAATGTATATTTTCTGCCTTTGGGTTGCTGAACTTTTTTAAATAAACTGTTAATTATTACTATTATATTACACGCGCATGCACACACACACACACACACACACACACACACACACACACACACACACACACACACAATAAGCCACAGAAAGCAAGTCACAACTTCTTCAAGAAAAATTTGGCATGAAAAAGTAAATTTTTATAAACCATAGTACTGTAAAACAGTTATTCAGGGGGTCTCTGAGTTATAAACGGGTTCCGTTCTTGAGAACGTTTTTAAGTCGGATTTGTAGGTAAGTCGGAACACATGCTATGTGCATACCGTACTTACAGAACAATGTTTAAAATCCCACTGTATCTTAGCTTAAGTCCTTATGTACATCTAAAATCACTTAATTTAAGACAAAAGAAGAAATAGAATGACAAAATATAGTAACTTAAAGTAAAAAATAAGTCATCAGGTAAATAAAATACTGTACTGTAAATTTCAAGTTTATCCCCGTTCGTATCGGTGGGCATTCGTAAGTAGGACGTTCGTAAGTCCCCTGATTGTTATTTATATTTACAATTCACAATTCAAGAAAAGTCATATTTGTTTTCACTATAATAAAATATGACATTTATGTACAGTCGACCCTCGTTAATTCGGACCCCTTTAATCCGGATTTCGGATAAATCGGACGAAATCTGAACTAAGCTAGGGACTGTTCTTATCAAATTTCTGGTTCTGGGATTGTCTCA